CTCCCCTAGGCAGAAAGCGTTGAGACGTTTTAGTTTAGGGAACAACAACAATTTATTTATTTATGCCCCGCCCATTTGGCTGGGTTTCCCCAGCCACTCTGGGTGGCTTCCAACAAAAGATTAAAAATCTTAAAGATTAAAAAAACCAAAAGCCTCAGCTTTTTGTAGCTGGAGTCAGTCAAGGCCCGCCCTCCCAAGCTGGGTGGAAAAAAATCTACAGGGCAGGGAGCAGGACATCTAGGACTTTTCTTCTATAAATTTCCTTCTGTTAAGAGCCAAGCCTGTTTAGGGAAGTTTTTAATATTTAATGCTGTATTGCTTTTAACACTTGATTAGCAGCCGCTCAGAGTGGCTGGGGAAACTCATCCAGATGGGCAGGGTATAAATAATAAATTATTATTATTATTATTATTATTATTATTATTATTATTATTAAACATTAAAACATCAGTCATTAAAAACTCTCCTAAACAGGGTTGCCTTCAGATGTATTCTAAACATCAGATAGCTGTTTATTTCTTTGACATCTGCTGGGAGGGTGTTCCACAGGGTGGGCGCCACCACCGAGAAGGCCCTCTGCCTGATGAGCAAGCAGCAACGTGACAGCTGTTTTAAAAATTATGTGTGGCATGGAAAAAGGCAGACAGAGAGAAGCTGTTCTCCCTCTCTCCTAAGACTAGAACTCATAGACATCCAGTGAAGCTGAATGTCTGGAAAGAGAAGAGGAAGAATTTCTTTGCTCAACATTCAGTCGGACTGTGGAAATCCCTCTGGCTGGAGGCGGTAACAGCCACCAACCTGGATGGCTTTAAAAGAGGATTGGACAAATTCATGGAGGTTGTCGATGGCCACTAAGCCATGATGTCTATGTTCTGCCTCCAAGATGGAGACAGCAATCCTTCTGGAAACCCCAGGAGGGAGGAGTTGATCTTGGCCTCAAATCCTTCTTGCTGGTTTCCGATAATGGGCATCTGGTGGACCATTGTGAGAACACGACGTTGGACTAGATGGGCCACTGGTCTGATCCTGCAGGGTCTCCTTAAGTGTTTATAATTATAATTTATTATTTATAGCCCGCCCATCTGGCTGGTCTTCCCCAGCCACTCTGGGCGGCTTCCAACAAAATATTAAAATACAGAAATGCATCAAACACTAAAAGCCTCCCTAAACAGGGCTGTCTTCAGATGTCTTCTAAAAGTCTGGTAGTTGTTGTTCTCCTTGACATCTAGTGGGAGGGCATTCCACAGGGCGGGTGCCACTACCGAGGAGGCCCTCTGCCTGGTTCCCTGTAGCTTTGCTTCTCACAACAAGGGAACCACCAGAAGGCCCTCAGCGCTGGACCTCAGTGTCCGGGCAGAACGATGGGGTGGAGACGCTCCTTCAGGTTTATGGAAGCTCTTCTCTGTATCCCCTAGCCTGGGTGTCACACTTTGTCTCAAGTGTAGAGGCCAAGCTTGGAGGATCATACCTGTTCAGCCTTGCACAGCGCTGGCCTAAAAACGGTTTACTTTGATTCTGGTCACCTGATGGGCAAAGATGAATTACTTGGTAATGACATCCCTTTCTTTTGATTAACTGCCACCCTCAAGCCGGCCAGCTGTTATTAGAAACGTTTGGCTGTGACAATTACAAATTGGATATTCTTCCCTCGCTGGGTAGAAACGGGTCGGTGATAAATGCGGGGTTTAATATTGTGCAATGTTATCGGCCGGCCACTGGCACCTTCGCTAAAGTAGGACAACGAATTGCTTTTCTGGCTAATGAAAGTTGTTATCTGTTAAAAGGTGGGTGGGATATGAGAAGATATGAGAACGCCACAGGTGCATTTGGGACATTACGCAAGAAGATAATAATAGCCTGGTGGATCGGGCCAAAGGCCTGTCAAGTCCACCATCCTGTTCTCACTGTTGCCAGGCAGATGCCCTAAAGGGAATCCCGCATGCAGGTGCTGGTTTTGACCTTTAAAGCCCTATATGGCCTAGGACCAACGTACCTACAGGACCGCCTCTCCTGGTATGTCCCACGGAGGACCTTAAGGTCCACAAATGACGACGTTTTGGAGGTCCCAAGTTGCAAGGTGGTTAGATTGGTCTCAACTAGGGCCAGGGCCTTTTCAGCACTGGCCCCGACTTGGTGTAACGCTCTGTCCCAAGAGACTAGGGCCCTGCAGGACTTGACATCTTTCCGCAGGGCCTGCAAGACAGAGCTGTTCCACCAGGCCTTTGGCTTGGACTCAGTCTGGCCCTTATGTTTCCCTCCCCTTATGGTTCTGATCTATGGGCTACTTTTAAAATGAGGCTGCATTTTAAATTGCATTTTACCCTCTATTTTAAATTGGTTTTCCCCCTCCTATTATGTTTTTATTGTAATTTTACTGGTGTTAGCCGCTCTGAGCCTGGTTCTGGCCAGGGAAAGTGGGTATAAATAAATTATCAGTAGTAGTAGTATTAGTATTATTGTTATTAAACACAAGATCAACTCTCTTAAAACAAACAAATGTACTGAAACCTCAAACACTCAGTTTCATTGAATGGCCATAAGCTCAACAGTTACGAAAGAAGGGGCGGCGGGTTTTCTCTGCCCACTTTCCCCAATGTAGAATTTTATAAACTCCTGTCAAGTTGCCTCTCGTTCGCGTTTTCTCTAAACTAAAAAGTCCCAAAAGGTTGCAATGTTTCCTCATATTGGGGTTGCTTCATACCTGTGATGCAACAGGACAGGGGATGCTCCCCTCTATATTCCAGAGCAGACTTGGCCATCTGGTGCCCTCCAGATATTCTGGATTGCAACTCCCATCACCCTTTGCTTTGTATGCACATGTTTAGTAAAAGGTAAAGGGATGTGGGTGGCGCTGTGGGTTAAACCACAGAGCCTAGGACTTGCCGATCAGAAGGTTGGCGGTTCGAATCCCCGCAACGGGGTGAGCTCCCACTGCTCGGTCCCTGCTCCTACCAACCTAGCAGTTCGAAAGCACGTCAAAGTGCAAGTAGATAAATAGGTACCGCTCTTGTGGGAAGGTAAATGGCGTTTCTGTGCGCTGCTCCGGTTTGCCAGAAGCGGCTTAGTCATGCTGGCCACATGACCCGGAAGCTGTACGCCGGCTCTCTCGGCCAGGAAAGTGAGGTGAGCGCCGCAACCCCAGAGACAGTCACGACTGGACCTAATGGTCAGGGGTCCCTTTACCTTTACTAAAGGACCCCTGGACAGTTAAGTCCAGTCCAAGGCAACTATGGGGTTGCGGCGATCATCACGCTTAAGGCCAAGGGAGCTCGTGTTTGTCCACAGACAGCTTTCTGGGTCATGTGGCCAGCAGTACTAAACCACTTCTGGAGCAACAGGACACCATGGCAGAAACCAGAGCGCACGGAAACGCCGTTTACCTTCCTGCTGCCGCGGTACCTATTTATCTACTTGCACTGGTGTGCTTTTGAACTGCTAGGTTGGCAGAAGCTGAGACAGAGCAATGGGAGCTCACTCCATTGCGGGGATTCGAACCGCCGACCTTCCGATCAGCAAGCCCAAGAGTCTCAGTGGTTTAGACCACGTCCCTGCCCCAAAGTGGTAAGCACCAAGCTACCCCCTCTGCCTGCCCAGAGCCCCTCCTTTTAATGACGCTGTGTGTGCAATTGTGAACACATCCTCCCACATCTTATTGTAATACCTTTTCTTGGGTCTAAAAGGTGAATTACGGCAACACTGCCACTTTTTATCACCTCTCCCTAGTTTGGCTCCCCAGTGGGGAAGCACCTGCCCAAGAGGCAAGAGGTCACGATCTACGGTGATTCACCAAGTGGCAACGGAGTCTAGGAGCAGCACATTACTGAATCATCAAACAGCATCTGCAATTACCATGTGATTAGCCTGGCCTGTGAGCGCACCCTGAATCACATGAAATAGCTCCGCGTTCCTAATGAGAATTAGAAGTGGATGACAACACAGCAGGCTGGGCTGAGCCAAGCAGGCAAATGAGGATTTTCAAGAGAATGGAAGGAAATGAGGGCTTGGAGGGGGGGCGGGGGGGGGGGTCACAGAAGGATAGCCTGCTGGGCCAGGCCAAAACCGGCTCATCTCGTCCAGCATCCTACTCTCACAGTGGCCAACTGGATGCCCCAAAGGCAGGACCCGAGTCTGTGGTTTCCAGCAACTGGGATTCAGCAACTGATGGGAGGGCGTTCCAGAGGGTGGGCGCCACTACTGAGAAGGCCCTCTGCCTGGTTCCCTGTAACCTCACTTCTCGCAATGAGGGAACTGTCAGAAGGCCCTCGGTGCTGGATCTCAGTGTCCGGGCTGACCGATGGGGGCTCCTTCAGGTCTACTGGACCGAGGCCATTTAGGGCTTTCAAGGTCAGCACCAACACTTTGAATTGTGCTCTGAAACGTACTGGGAGCCAATGAAGATCTTTCAAGACTAGTGTTATATGGTCTCGGCAGCCGCTCCCAGTCACCAGTCTAGCTGCCGCGTTCTGGATTAGTTGTAGTTTCCGGGTAACCTTTTCCAACTCTAAAATACCCTTTTTGAAGTTTGGTGACTGGAACTGGGCAGAGTATTCAAAACATGGCCATGCCATAGATTTGTATAAGGGCATTACGATGGGGAAGGGGGGAAATACAGGAGCTACTCCAGTGATTCTGAAGGCGGCCCTGTTTAGGGAAGTTTTTGTTGGCAGTTTTTAATGTCTGATGCTGTATTGTTTCTGATATTTGGTTGGAAGCCACCCAGAGTGGCAGGGGTGACCCAATCAGATGTGCGGGATATAAATAATAAATTATTATTATTATTATTATTATTCTGACATTCAGGCCTTCAGAAAGTTTCTGTTTCACAGTAAATGGCACCAGCGATTTAAAAAAAGGAAAAAGAGGCCGGTACTCACCATGAAGTTGTTACAGTAAGGGCCACACTTTTAACACTGGGGGGCAGGAGGTGCCAGTACTGCGTACCCCTGAATGCCCCCCCCCAAAAGCACGGAGTAGCACAATCTGACTGCAAGCAACTTTACCTCTGCACACGGTATACTCGCGTCCACGGGGGCACGAGAGCCAGTATCCTCGCCACCAAATCCACGAGGGTGCTTGGAGGGTAGCTCTTGTACCTCCCCGTCTTCCAGAGCTCGTACAAGCCGGTGCCACGGATCACGAGGGTTGGGTAGAGCTTCATGCCATCGGGGCGAAAGGCAGGATTCTCAAAAAACTCCTGGGGGGTGGAAACAAGAGAGACACGAAATCAGAATGCAAAAGCGCACGATGGTGCTTGAGTTCAGCAGCTCTTTGTTTGCATGCAGGGATATAACTGAGGCTTGTTACGGAAAAATCTAGGTGCGAGGCTGCTTAGCCAGCCAGCTCATCGGGCAGAGCCCGTGGGTCCCTGCGGAATAAAGGAAGGAGTCCAGCCACCAACTGGAGCAAATAGCTGTAGACCAAAGTTTATTGTGCAACAGGTTCCAAGAGGAATTTTGAACCCCGAGGATGGGGTGACAAGGACTTTTCAAACTTTCCTATCTTATCCCAGCATACAGTTCATTACGCATCATCACTACATGATTGCTACATCAGAAAAGGGGAGGGTTATACATGATTAACATAGGAGGAATGTGTTGGGGCAACAGGTGGATACAGGATATGTATTGGGAAATACATTCTAAGCACCTGCTACAAAGGGACAATAGAACTTTGGTTTGCATAGTCTGCCACCTGGGCAAGTCCGGAGGAGTGCCTTTGCCCAGCGATTGACACCTATGAGCACCTTCCTGTGAGTACATGACCTCCCGCTTGAGGGATTATGGGGGGGACTGAGTGGTTTCCAAGTCCTTGGCCAATGAAGCAAATTGGCGGTGGAATAAAGAAAACTGGCAAAGGAGCTGATTTTATATGGTTTTTAAAGCTAGGTAACTTCCCTGGGACTTGCCGATCACAAGGTCGGCAGTTCGAATCCCCGTGACTGGGTGAGCTCCTGCTGCTCGGTCCCTGCTCCTGCCAACTTAGCAGTTCAAAAGCACACCAGTGCAAGTAGATAAATAGGATTCGCTCTGGCGGGAAGGTAAATGGCGTTTCCGTACGCTGCTCTGTTTCGCCAGAAGCGGCTTAGTCATGCTGGCCATATGACCCGGAAGCTGTACGTCGGCTCCCTCGGCCAATAAAGCGAGATGAGTGCCACAACCCCAGAGTCAGTCACGACTGGACCTAATGGTCAGGGGTCCCTTTATCTATACCTTTACCTTCCCTAAGCTGTCAAGTCAAAAGGATACATTCATGCATAGTATTTGTAACATTTAACAACTTTAAAGATGTGCCCCCCCCCACCGTAATTTCCGTAACAGGCTGAAAGTGGCCCTCCGGAGAAAACAAAAGAACCTAAGAAGAGGCTGCTGCTGGATCAGGCCAGTGGCCCACCTAGTCCAGCATCCTGTTCTCACAGTGGCTGACCGGATGCCCCAAAGGAAAAAACCCTCAAGCAGGATTCGAACCCAACTCTCTCCCTTCCTCTGGTTTCCAGCAACTGGTGTTCAGAAGGGTTGCTGCCTCTGACTGTGGAGGCAGAGCAGAGACGTCCTGGCTAGCAGCCACCGATAGCCCTCTGCAAATTTGCCTAATCCTCTTTTAGAGCCACCACTGCGTCCTGTGGGAGGGAGTTCCACAGCCTAAATAGGCGCTGCCATGAAGAAGTACTTTCTGTTTTCCCTTTTATCCACCTTCCCCAACCCTGAGTCCCTTGAAGATGTCTTGGGTTGCAGCTCCCCTAGGCCCCAGCCAGCCCAGCATCGGGGTGGCAAAGACTGCTCTAGGTCAAGCCTTACAGGAGCACTTGGAGGGGGGTGGCAATTGCCTTTGTTTGCCGAGACGGCAGGGCCTCAAAGAACAGAGCGCGACTTTCCGCCGCAGAACAAAAACCAAAGCCATCAAGGGCCGCCTGCTGCTCAAAACGCCGCAGCTCTGGCGGAGTCTGAAGTGGGGCAGGGTGCACGCCTCGCTTTATTCTGGCGGGCAACCGCTGCTCTACGAATTGCAAAACAACAAAATGTCAATTAAAAACCCAGCGGCGCACGTTGTCAGTGCGGCAGTCAGACACGCCAGCCACGACACGCATTTTATAGGAACAATAATTGATTTCGCCAGCAGAAGTCTGCCTCAGAAAAGGGAGAAGGGGAGACATGCCTTGCTGTTATTAACACTAATGGCGCTGACAGGTTCCCATTCATTCACGCCCTTGTAAACCTGCGGGCTGGCATAAATAATCGGGAGGTGATTGGTATAAATTAGTCATTTCGGTGCCAGGAAACTGCTGCTTTTTCATCAAGGTAGAAGGGGCAGTTACTCAGCTGTGTAACAGCTGCCTCTCCTCCTCCGCAAATCAGTGGCCTGGCAAACAGGTAGATTATCTTGCCTTAGCGGGAAAAACATCCTCGGAATTGGTTATCTCTGCCAGAGGTACTGGAGAAAGGAGAGGCGCCCTATACCTATACCTGAAGGAGCGTCTCCACCCCCATCGTTCTGCCCGGACGCTGAGGTCCAGCGCCAAGGGCCTTCTGGCGGTTCCCTCATTGCGAGAAGCAAAGCTACAGGGAACCAGGCAGAGGGCCTTCTCGGTGGTGGCGCCCGCCCTGTGGAACGCCCTCCCATCAGATGTCAAAGAGATAAACAACTACCGGACATTCAGAAGACATCTTAAGGCAGCCCTGTTCAGGGACGTTTTTAATGTGTGGCATCTTAGTGTATTTTTGGTCTTTGTGGAAGCTGCCCAGAGTGGCTGGGGAAACCCAGCCAGATGGGCGGGGTACAAGTAATAAATTATTACAGTGGTGCCCCGCAAGACGAATGCCTCGCAAGACGAAAAACTCGCTAGACGAAAGGGTTTTCCGTTTTTTGAGTCGTTCCGCAAGACGAATTTCCATATGGGCTTGCTTCACAAGACGAAACGTCTTGCGAGTTCTTGCGAGTTTGTTTCCTTTTTCTTAAAGCCGCTAAGCCGTTAATAGCCGCTAATCCGTTAATAGCCGCTAATCCGTTAATAGCCGCTAAGCCGCTAATAGCCGTGCTTCGCAAGATGAAAAAACCACAAGACGAAGAGACTCGCGGAACGGATTAATTTCGTCTTGCGAGGCATCACTGTATTATTATTATTATTATTATTAATACTATGGCAGACAAGTTGACAATGAATTCAGGAAAAAGTGACATCATCCAGAATAGTGTTTTATGGTACAGATCCTGCTGTCCACCCACATCACTGTGTGAGATGAGACAGGCTGGAGCAAGAGGCAGGATCTTTTTAGTGGTGGCGCCTACATTGTGAAAGAGATCTGCAAGGCTACATTTTGTTGTCATTTGGGTTGCTGAATGTTGCCAGAGGCGACAAGGGGCCCAGCAACAGACGCAACTCTTACCTGTGCCAAGCAGGCTGCATCTGATGCACAACGAAAGTCAGACATTTGCACCAACAGATGCACACACACCCTCTAGTTCAAGGGCATGCATTCAAAGAAGGTCATGGGCATGATCCCAGAGGCCAGAGAGACGGGAACCAGGGGCCGCCTTCTTGTTGCACAGGTTACCCACAACAGATGGGAGATCAATTTTGCGTTCCTAATCCAGGAGAAAAGTGATGGCCAACCTAGACAGCATCTTAAAAAGCAGAGACATCACTTTGCCAACAAAGGTCCGTATAGTTAAAGCCATGGTTTTCCCAGTCGTGATGTATGGAAGTGAGAGCTGGACCATGAAGAAGGCTGATTGCCAAAGAATGGATGCTTTTGAATTCTGGTGCTGGAGGAGACTCTTGAGAGTCCCATGGACTGCAAGAAGATCAAAACTCTCCATTCTGAAGGAAACCAGCCCTGAGTGCTCCCTGGAAGGACAGATCCTGAAGCTGAGGCTCCAATACTTTGGCCACCTCATTACCTTCTTCACAGCTGCCGCAGCAGAGTCTTATAAAATGATCTTTGCTACAATCAGCTGCCTTTGGCACGGGACTGCATGTTCTTAGCACAGTGCAAAAAACAGGCTTGATCACATTCCACGAGTCCCTCCCACCCGGCATTCCCCTGCAGATGTAGGAAGTTGAACCTGCTGTCTGCATGATGGGGGCTGGCATGGACAAGGTGAGGTGGATGTGAAGTAAGAAGATAAGGAGAGCCCTGCAGGGGCCAGATCAGGCCAAACAGAGCCTAGCATCCCCTTCCAGACAGTGGCCAGCCAGATGCCCTAATGGCTTAAAAAGAAAACGAGACCAATTCATGGAAGCTAGTCATCCCCTTGCCAACAAAGGTCCGTATAGTTAAAGCTATGGTTTTCCCAGCAGTGATGTGTGGAAGTGAGAGCTGGACCATCAAGACGGCTGATGGCCGAAGAATGGATGCTTTTGAATTCTGGTGCTGGAGAAGACTCTTGAGAGTCCCATGGACTGCAAGAAGATCCAACCTCTCCATTCTGAAGGAAATCAGCCCTGAGTGCTCACTGGAAGGACAGATCCTGAAGCTGAGGCTCCAAGACTTTGGCCACCTCATAAGAAGAGAAGACTCCCTGGAAAAGACCCTGATGCTGGGAAAGATGGAGGGCACAAGGAGAAGGGGACGACAGAGGACCAGATGGTGGGACAGTGTTCTCGAAGCTACCAGCATGAGTTTGACCAAACTGCGGGAGGCAGTGGAAGACAGGAGTGCCTGGCGTACTCTGGTCCATGGCGTCACGAAGAGGCGGACACGACTAAATGACTAAACAACAACAACAACAAGCCTCCTTGAGCATTGTTTTAACTGTGGAAAGGCGGCATAGAAATAAAATGATGATGATGTTCAGAATACAGCCCCCGCCTCAGCGGATCCCCATGCCCAGCCTGAGGTGGCTGCCCCCCCCTCAAGTTTAAGGGATAGAGCTCAAAGGCCCTGCCGTAGCAGTTACACCAGAGGCCTCCAGGGGTACGAAGGTGAGGGGGAGACCCGGAGACCTCCAGGAGAGAAGGACCGAAGAGGCCCTCAAGGAGGGGAGACAACCCCTTCGCCGCCCACCCTGGGAGCCCGAGGGGGAGGGAACCCGAGGAAGGGAGGTGGTCCATGCCCAGCGCAGACCCCCTCCACCGAGAGCTTTGCCTCACCCATGCCTGTGGGCTGCAATATGACGGGAGGTGCCAGTACCAGGAGGCAGAAGACAGGGCTGAAAAGGAAGCCGGCGGTGGCCAAAGCAGGACAGAAATTCTCAGTG